ATTGGAATAACCATTTGAGAAAAGAAAGCAAAGAATATAAATTGAGATGACCATTTGAGAAAAGAAAGCAAAGAGGACAACTTAGGATAACCAATTTAGAAAAGAAAGGAAAGAATGGGAATTGGAATAACCATTTGAGAAAAGAAAGCAAAGAATCGAAATTGGGATAAATAGTCGAACAATTAAAAACTGCATTCTGTATATCTATCTTCTTTCTCTCTCCAAAATCAATTAATCAATCACACACAACACAATTCCAAAGCAAGACAATGGATGCTGTTATCAGTGCCACCATTCAAACATCAGTGGAAAAGTTGCTTGCATCCGCCACTTCAGAGTTGAGTTTGCTATGGAATTTCAAGAAAGACTTAAGAAAGTTAGGCAGATCATTGAAAATGATGGATCTTGTCTTACAAGATGCTGAGAAACGTGAAGTTACCGATGAGAATGTCAAACTTTGGCTCAAGAACCTTCGAGATGTTACTTACGATGCTGATCATGTCTTGGATGAGATCAATTATGAAAATATGCGTCATATGGTGGAGATCCAAAGGCAGACTATGATGAGGGGGTGCTTAAACATATTTTCCTTTACTCCTACTTTAGCGTTCCGATGGAGAATGGCTCGCAGGATCAAGGACATCAACGTCGACTTGAAAATGATCGCAGATGAAGCTAATACCTATGGTTTCCAGAAAGTTGAGAATTATGCTCTCACTGTGCCTCGGGTTAAGGAAACCGATAGCATAACTGTTGATTCAAATGTCGTCGGAAGACAAGATGATGAAGCAGAAATTTTGAAGCTGATAATCAACACAGACGACTTAGTTATTTCAGTCCTTCCCATAGTTGGAATGGGAGGGCTTGGCAAGACAACCTTAGCTCGGTCAGTCTTCAAACACCAGCACACGGAGAGTCATTTCGCTATTAGGATTTGGGTATGCGTTTCTGAAAATTTTGACGTGATGATGCTTTTTAAAAGGATTCTAGAGTCCTTAGGAGAAAGTTTTCAAGGAGCCAGCAGGCAAGCTATTGTGGATAGGCTTCGAGAGAAATTGAAAGACAAAAGATACTTGCTCGTTCTTGATG